AGCCTCTTTGCAGGCCCTCGGGGCCGCCACAGCACGGCGCAGGAGGAAGAGCCGGTGCCAGGGAATGGGCCTGGACCTGTGGGGGTCGCGTCATGAAGCAGTTCATGACGTCGGGGGTCTGGGTCCTGGCTTGCTCGCAGTGACAGTGATCGTGTTCGTAGTCATTTGCCGATCGGCGCGGGCCCTCGCACCCCCTCCCACCCCCGCTGCATGGAGTAGATCTTGGCTGTTTTTGGCGCCTGTTTCCAGCAGGTGGGGTCTCCCCCATGGGACGCACTGTTGCGAATATTCGCATGGAGGCCTTCTCAGAAGGCGGCGGGGCTTCTCAGAAGCCCCCCAGCCTTCTGAGAGGCTTTCTGCGTCTTCAGAGAAGGTTTAGGCTTCTTCTCACAAGGCCGGGGGACCTCCGAGCCTTCTGAGAAGGCCTGCTCCTTCTCACTTCCCCCCCGGGCGCGCTGCCTACAGACAGCCGATCGGATTCGGTCGGCCCAGATACGGACAAGGCGCTGAAGTGAGGGCCATGGCTCATTAACAAAACAGCTTGGAGGTCCGCGCAGGTTCCTCGGATCGGCGCTGGAGCCCCCTGGTGGCGCCTCTGGCGCCGCCACTGACGCGCTCCGCGCGCCAGGGAGGGGGTCAGCGCGGATCCGAGAAATCTGCTTTTCGAGCCGTGCCTTGGATCTCATGTCGGGGAGCTTACTCGTGGTCGAGGCTCGCCGTGGCCAGAAAAGCTTTTGCGTCCCTTATATCCAGCGTCTCTTGAGGTAACACGATGATTGTGTGACGTGCACATGCGGTCGTGCATCTGGGTCTGCGAGGTCTGGGGAGATGACCCCCCCTCTTGCCAGTATGCGGCCTTCTTCCTCCCAGGCGGCGCCAGGGAGGGAGGGTGGTGTCGAGCGGGGCGGCCCTCCGAGCAGACAGGAGGGAGGCCTCTTGCGCAGAGGACACTCGGCCCCGTCCCGGGGAGCCTCGACTGAGGCCTGATTGTAGAGGGGGCGAAGAGGGCCTCCTGGAAGGGTTCTCCGAAGGGCTTACGCGACCCGTCCTCCTCCTCCTCCTCCTCCTCCTCCTCCTCCTCCTCCGTAACCGTTTTGTCTCAAGATATTTTCGCCCCGTGGCAGACCACGGAGACCTTTTGGTCCATGGCCAGCAAGGACCTCGTTTCCACGCCTTCACTTCGCCCGCGGTGTCGAGTTTCATATCCACTGTTGCCGCATTCGCCTGCGGTCAGCCTACATGTCACGTGCGATCTCTCGTGGCTAGCGCGGGCCTCTTCTCGACTGCAGCCGAAGTGGAGGATCCGCTCCTGGGTGCCGTGGACGCTTTCGGAGTCAAAGGTGCAGGGAAAGAGAAGGCATATCCCTGGGCAGCCGGAGCCCACACATTTTTCGCTATAGGTACCCCACCACATCAATGTGAGGTAAAGAACTTCCAGATGTCCTACAAGCCCAGGTGGACAAAACGGCCATAGCATTCGAAGAAGCCTCCTAAAGAGTTTGACAAGAAGCTCAGACCGAATTGATCAAGAACCTTATTCGGGCCACAGAAGAACTACCTCGACGACAAGAATCAGTTGAACGTGACGTTATTCAGTTCAAAGCTCGCGCAGACAAAGCCGAAACATTCAACGCAGCCCTACAAGCTACAGTCGACGACATTGAGGAAACTGTCCATCATGCCGAAGCCCTTCACCCGTCCATCAACATCGACGCCTTCGGGAACTGGGGCCGACCTCCGCATGCTGCTACCTTCTGGTGCGGAGCACCAGCCGAGTTCGACGGTTCCGCGCTCAAGAACGCCCTCAGCGTCTGGTTCATCGCCGCCAACGTAAACATTAACGGTATCCGCCTTAACTCGCCAGGTCGTGGCAGAAGAATGACACCCACACTTTCTGGCGGCGGCATTCTTGCTATTCCTGCTGCTGCTTCGCCACACAAGACTCTTTGTCTTGGCAAAGACTGGAGTACCTTCTGGATTGCGACCTCGGCTGGCCCATCTCCGCTCTACATCTCCGCAGACTCGTCGCCCCGCGCGATGCGTCAAGAAGTGCAATTCAGAAAACTCAGCAGACTCATCGCCGCCGAGCATCCCGACACCAACCTCAGGATCCACCGAACGACCGGCAACATCTCGGTTCTCGGCTCGCCCATCGTCCAGGTCATCGCAGGCGCTACTCCCGAGGCTCCTACCAAGGTGCGCTGGTCGGATGCTGCTGACCCTGCTGTTAGCCCCACGGCAGAACGCGAATCCTACGCCCAAGAGCTCGCTGCCGCCTTGGCGGATCCCATGGCTGCATCGCAGTGGCTTCAGCATCCGCTGGTCACCATGGTTCATCAAGCCGCAGGCCGAGGGATTGAACACCGTCTCCTGGAGCACGCTAGCCCTTCTAGGGCGATCGCCAACCCGCCGCGCCATCGAGCGCAACATCCTCCTCCCATGCATGAGGCAGCGCATGGTCATCGCGCTGCAAGAGACCCACGGGGATCACCCCGACCTCCAGACTTGCGTTGAGTCCACCCACCACCCGTACTTGTCGTTCCACTCAGCTTGCGAGGACCTCGGCGAGTCTTCCGGAGTTGCTGGCGCCCGCACCCCCCCCCCGCGACAAGTGCGAGCGCAATTTGCCTGCTGGCCGGCGTCCTTGTCGCGACTTTGCCCCTGTCGTTAAAGGCCGCGTCGCCGAGCTCCGCGTCTTCGATGTCGAGCGCAAGCACGAGGCCACCGTCTTCAACGTCTACAACCACGGGCTGACGGCGCAAGATCGCCAGACATTTTCTGTTGCCTGGGCTGCTGCGAAGGCCCGGGCCGGCGCCAACCCAGACGCGCGCAACTTCGCCCTGATCGGCGACTTCAACATCTCCGAGCTGCCTCCCATGAGTTTGCTCCGACCAGAGGGCGCCACCAACAGCGACAGACACCAGCCCCAGCCCGCCCTCTCGAAGCAAATCTTCTCCACCATGATCGGGGTCGCCACCAAGTCCACAACGCACCGATGCCCCGCCAACGAGACCGAACACCCCCGCCTTCAACGTGCTTCACCTCGAGGCGCACCCTGCCGTCGACAGCAGCCCCCCCGAGCGCGCTGGCGAACCTGCTAGCGACCGTGCAGTTCTACATCTACGGCTACGCCCTCGCGCCCAACGGCCGGCCTGCTGCTGAGCGATAGATGCCCGCCTTCATCTGCAACTCCAAGCGCTGCAACTTGTACTGCGCCCGCTTTCTGAGAATGCTCGCCCTTACCTCTCTCGGCCCGCTCTCGAAATGGCGCGCAACGAAGCATGACATGACCCTTGCGGCGCAGAAAGCTCGCGACGCCATGGTCGCCATCCAGCCATCCGAGATCAACGACGACGATCCGACCGGCAACCGCGAAGCCCGTGCCATGGCGTTGCGCAGCATCGCCCGAGCAGTCTGGTACCAGGATTGGAAACTCGCCCACGTCCTGGCGACTGGCATCGCCGCGGGCGCCCACTACCTGACCATCGACAGCGACGCGATCTCGATCGCCGACGCCGATGCCCTTCCCCGCCGAAGTCGACGCGGGGCACCTCGCCTTTGCCTCTCTTTTTTTTTTTTTATTTTTATTTTTTTTTTTTTTTTTTTTTTGTTTTTTTTTTTTTTTTTTTTTTGCCGACCCCCGCTGCCAAGAGGCCGCTGCTCGGCCACGTGCTGCATTTCAAGAACAACGTTGCCAATTGGGGGAACTATTGACAGCGCTCGCGACGCGAGGGGCAGCGCGGCGAGCTCTGGAAGCTCTTCGCCAGACGCCTCGTCCTCGCGGGCATCCGTGTCTCCACTGGCGCGCCCTGCCACATCGTCACCGACCCGATGGCCATGCATTCCGCTATCCAAGGCCACTGGGGCAGGGTCTTCGCCGCCAAGGACGTCGGCGCGCCCCCCGCGCAGCGCTGCCTCGACGGTGTCTCCCCGCAGAGGGTGGCCCTCGACATCCCGCTTCCCGACAGCGAGCACTTGCGCGCGCCGCTCGCCTGGCATGCGACTCCGCGCCAGGTCTCGACGGGCTCCCGCGCCGCGCCTGGCTCCTCCTGCCTGGGGGCCTCGACGCCCTCGCCGACCTCGCGTTGCACATGGCGCAAGGCCGCGCGGCCCCCCGCGACCTGGACTACGCCTTGATGGCAAGCTTCCGAAACGCGACGAGCCCCTCGGCAACTTCGAGTTCACCGGGGCGCTCGACTGCCTTCGCCCGCTCGCCATGAACAGCGACGTGAGGCTGATCGCCTCCGCGACCAACCGCAAGCTGCGCCGCGTCGCCGCCGCGGCCACCGAGGAGCAGCAAAGCTTCGTCAACGGCAGGCAGCTCCTGAACAATATTGTTCTGGTCGACGCGATCGCTCGACGACTCAGCACCGGCGAGAACGATGAGATGCTCCAGCCCTGCTTCGCCAGCATGGGCGCGATCGCTCGATTCCCCAGCCTAACCTGCTGCGCGACTGGCTGCGGGAGGTGCTACGCCGATGGGGGCTTCGCGGCTCCGTCTTCACGCGTCTGCGAGCGTGCTACCACATGCCCCTCGTCTTTTCTCGAGCTCGGCGGGCCCCGCCGGCCCCTCCTGATCGCCGAGCTGGGCGCCGCTCAAGGCTGCCCGCTGAGCGGTGCGTTCTGGGCGCTGATATTCGATCCCATCATCCGCGGCGTCAAGTTCGAGCTCGAACGCATCGGGCGCGGCCTCATCGGCGCCTGCGCCGACGACCGACGACCCGGGCATCATTCTCGCCGCCTTCCGTGACATCGAGCGCTTCTTCCCCGCCCCCTTAGCTGCTGAACTGTTTGCAGGTCTCCGCCTGCAGGCCAAGAAGCGCATCATCGCAACGACCTGGGCTCTGCCGTCGCCGCCGCTCGTTCGCAACATCCCAGCCACGCTCGCCAACGCCCGCCGCCCATGGAAGGACTTCGCGGTCGCCAGCCACGCGCGCTACCTGGGAGCGGTCATTGGACCTGGTGCCACGCTCTCGGCGCAGTGGAAGGGCCCCGCAGGCAGGTGGCGGGTTCGGTCCCAGATCCTGGGCGAGACCCGATCGCCGCTGCAACGAAGCATCAAATTCTACGACGTCGACGCCGCCGCCTACCTCTCCAACGTCGGCCAGCTCCACCCGCCCTCGCCTTGTTTTTGTTTGCCAAGGAGCTCCACGCGCTGCGCAAACTTCTTCGAGCAGCCCGTTCCAGCTTCACGAAGCAGGACACTCTCTCATTCGAGCGCTGGACCGGGGCGGAGACACCACAAGGAGTGGAAGCGCTTCTGTCGGCTACAACGCGGCGCGCAGCTTCCGCAACACTTGCATCGTGGACGCGCCCACTTCGTGAGCGCCAGGCTGCCGCCGAAGATCGACTGCCAGTCTGCCAAGTCGCCTTTGTACACTGGTGCGCCGATTGCTGGAGGGGCAAGCACTCCATCGCGCGACGCTTCGAGCAGATCGCCACGGGCCAGCTCCACCCAGCGTACAAGGGCTCCATCCACAAGTCTCTGAAGCGCTCCCTCGGCACCCCGCAAGGCGCGGCCTGCGCTCTTGCTGCTGCTCACCTCCGCGCCGCCGCTGCTGGTTGTCAAGCTATCGTGGGCAGGGGCCGCGACATGACCCAGGACATGAGCCACCTGATCGATCGGCATGAAGACGAGGGCCGTGGCAAGGCCCATGGCAAGGGAACGAAGGCCTGGCGCTAATCTCCACAGTCAGCCTACCTGCACGAGCTTCAGGCATCACAATACATCGACACCTTGGACAGTACCATCCTCGCGCGGCTCATGTCCTGGCCCCCGCTTATCGGCATGCTCCTACCTTCTCGCTCCTTTCAAGATGCTGTTCCAGATTCGCTCCCGCTTCCCACTGCCGCTAAGCCTTCGCAGACGCCCGCCGCCGAGCATCCCATCGCATGCGTCAACGAGCGTGCTGAAGCATGGGTTGCCCGCTGGACCCCGGGCTTTTCCTTGACCCCAGGTACGTCGACTGCCGCGACTGGATGGAGCGGTGCCGGTGCGCCCCGTACCTCGCGAGCTGCCTTCGCCGCCCACAGTTCGACATCATGTCCGACGCCGACATCGGCCCCTGGAACGGTGGCGGGCGCCGCCGCGCTGTCGCTCTCGAGACCTGCGAACGCCGCGGGCACAGCTCATCGCGCGCGCAGCCGACGCAGGCCGCCCATCCCTCGGCAGCCACGCAGCGAGAATGTAACGAAGAAGCCGCTCGGAATCGTGCCCACCGCCGCTGGTTATCCTCCCATGACGTTCGCGATGAAGACCGCTGGCTCCCCGACGGCACTGCGAACGGGGGCAATGGCGACCAGCCGACGGACCTGCTCGGCATCGAGGGCTGGCCCGCCT